TCGCGAGAGAGGCCGCCTGCTTCCTCCAGCTTCCCTTAGGCACTCTGCTTGGCCATAGCGCCTCTCTGCCGCCCCGCAGCCGGGCCATCCTGCCTTGCTCCTCGTGTGTTTTGCCAGGAATGCTCTCCTGCCAGGTCACCGTTGGGCTCATCCCCTCGCCTTGACACTTCATCTTCCTGCAGCCTTCCCTCATCACTCTGTTGAAACTTGCAGCCACAGCAGCAAATGAAAAAGAGAGGAAGTGGGCTTTGGTGATGTCAGCACTAGGGCCTGTGTTTGGGAGCTGCCCTCAGGGACAGTGGAAGCTGGGCCCCGACACGCCCCATCATGGGCTCACTTCCCGTGGGTGGTGGGGCGCCCTAGTGGGTGTACACCAGCCAGCTTGGACTTGCAGTTCTGGTCTTATTTGACTTTGCTGCCCTTTTTTAAACAGATCAGTGGCATGGAAAGATTTCTACAAGTAACCAGAGTTTTGAGACTAGTGACGTGGGCCCTTGAGAGGGGGAACTGTGGCAGCACTGACAGGCCTCTTCCTGCTGCACGCTCCTTGTCAGCTCATCAGTGAGGTGACGACGGCACCTCCCAGCCCCCTTCACGGTGGCCAGAAAGACGTCAGTTTTCAGGGAGCATATTCAAAGTAGGGGCTTTGAGCCACCCTTGTCCATGGGGGTTTATGTACATCCTCGGAGTGTATGCTGCGGTTTACGAGGCTGTTCCACCTAAATGCCAGGCCCAGACACAGAACTCACCGGAGTACAGAAGGAAGCGTATTGCCATCCAGTGCTCAATCAAGCACTGTGGAAAATGTGGTAAATCTTTCGAAACCTCTTCTCAGATTTCTTACTTAATCGTGAGACACGAAAAGCCACATGCCATTGGAGAAACAAACACTTCCTTCCTGCGCTGATAAAAATGGCTGACAGCATTACGATGACAAACTAGAATGCCTTTCTCTGTCAGCAAATACTGTCAGAAGATCCGCCACAAACAGTGGAGAAGGCTGTAGAACACACACTCGAGCAGATGCCACTGTGTGGGAGGATGGCTGCAGAGTCGCTGGAAGGACAGATGTTCCCAATGCATCTCAGCTTAGGTGGTTTGTCAGATTGTTTCACTAATGAAAACAGGAAGGACTTCTTTCTGTGAGTCACTGACGAGGAAAGGTGTGTTGGGGAAAGTACACTCCCCATCAGCTGCCTGGATGAGGAGATCTGCCATCTTGAAGGCTGTAACACAGCAGATTACCCGGAAGGCTGGAGTCAAGCTGATTGACAGAAATGTGATAAAGTAGGGCCAGAATTGTAACAACTAAAATGCAAGCCAGAGAACAATCACCACATACAAACCAGAAAGAGCTGGTTCAAAGTGAAAAGAAACAGGCAGGACCTCTGTGGCAGTTAAGGTTGTTGTTGACTTGGCTGGGCCTGCTTGAGTGGGCAGCTGGATGTAGTTATACCCCGGGGGGAGATGGGTAGTTAACTCCGGGGTGCAATCTCCTGGAGCAGCTGGAGCACTAGCTGCTTTAGAAATGCGGGCTGCTTTCACTATGTAAGAAGCAGCTTTGAAGAAGGGCTCTAGCTTTTTGGCATTCTTGAACCCTGCATGTAGCCAAGTTGCTGTTCAGCAGCCTGCCATGCCCTGCCAATCTTAGGACTTCTGAACTTGGTGGCCTGCCGTGTTGTTTGCTAATATCGGGACTGTGCTTTGTTACTTGTCAACCTTGGGGGTATTGGCCTCAGCAGCCAGTAGCTGCCTGAGTGAAGAAAAGCCTCCAGCTTCATTGGCCTGGGAGCAGGAGGCACAGCTGAAACCCAAGGTTGAGGGGCTTTCACCCAGCCCCTAGAGCCTGGCACTTTGAACTCAGACTTCTAACCTTCAAACTGTAAGAGAATAAACTCTTCGTTTGTTCAAGCCATCCCATCTATGGTATATTGTTGTCAGAGCGGCACTAGAGGTCACCAAAACAACCTCCCATCCTCCCCGTGGAGTGCTGGACAGGAGACACAGGAAATGTTAGAAGGAAAGATGTATTCATGAAAACCATACAAAACGGTGGTTTTTGTAGATTAAAAAATTGGCTATTTTTATAGGTGATAGGCTGCTGAAGCCTATAACAAGAGATTGGTTAGTAATCAAAAACTTCCCACAAACAAAAGCACAGTACCAGGTGGCTTCACTGGTGAATTCCACCAAATGTTATAAAAACATAATAAAGAGTTAATACCAGTCCTTCGCAAACTCTTCCCAAAAATAGAAGACATGGGGACATTTCACAACTTATTCTGTGAGGTCAGTGTTAATCACCATTATACCAAAACCAGGCAATGATATCACAAGAAAAGAAAATTAATAGACTGGTATTTCTTATGAAATAATGTAAGTATTAAAGTTCTCCACAAAATGCTAACAAATCAAATCCAGCAACATATAAAAAGGATTATGTACATGACTAGGATTTATAACAGGAATGTTAGGGTTGGTTCAGTTTTGAAAATCAGTCAGCGTGCTGCACCATGCTGACAGAATAAAAGACAGAAACACGGTGTTCTCAATAGACACAGAAAAACCATTTGACAAAATTCCAACACCTTATCATGATGCAAACACTGATCAAAGTAGGAATAGAAGGGAACTTTCTCAACCTAATAAAAGGCATCTGGTGGCGTAGTACCTAAGGTGTTTGATTGCTAACCAGAGGGCTGGTGGTTCAAACCGACCAACCACTCCTTGGAAGGAAGGTTGTGCAATCTACTTCCATAGAGATACTGCCTTGGAAACCCAAAGAGGGGTCGCTATGAATTGGATCTGACTCAACAGCAGTGAATTTGGATGGGGTTTTTTTTTTTTTTTTTTCCTTTTTGGTATGAGATGGAAAGTTCTTCCCCCAAGATGAGCACCAAAACATGGAGATTGCTCACACCCATCACTGCTAGTCAACGTTGTAAAGGAGTAGTCTAGCCAGGGCAATTAGACAAGAAGCACTGAAGGTATTCATACCGTAAAGGAAAAAGTAAAACTCTTTGTATAAGTGATACGATCTTGAGTGTAGAAAATCTTAAAGAATCTAGAGGGAGGGAAGAAAAAAACTATTAAGAGTTAATAAGCTAGTTCACCAAGGTTGCCATATGGTGAGGATGTGGAGAGATTATAGAGAGTGGAGGGTCAGCGACAAAGGGGAAGGCCCTCAATGAGATGGATTGACAGTGCCTACAATAAGGGGATCAGGGATAGCAAGGCTTGTAAGGCTGGCACAGGACCGGGCAGTGTTTCGTTCTGCCATGCAGAGGGTAGGTAAGAGTTGGAGCCGACTCGATGGCACCTAACAACAACAAAGGAGAATCGAGGGCAGGCCTGCAGGCTGGCAATGAGGTCCTGCACATCACCCTGGCTGGCCTCGCAGTGTGGGCTGGCTGCTGTCCTCCTCTGTGACACACGGGCATTGCAGGATACTGCTTCTAAATTCATTTGTTTATCAACAAATTGGAGTCCCTGCTTGGTACCAGGCAGTAACAATAGGTACTGTTTGCTGACGGAACTTCACCGGGACGCCATTTCCACACTGGGTTCTGGCCTTCACTGCCTGCTTGGGTGAAGTACAGGTAAGACCTGAGGTGCAGTTGGCAATGTTTGCCTGTGTGCACACTGTCCCTCATTGTGGGTCCAGGTCAGCCCCTAGGAATTTCTGGGAAGAGGGACAGGGAATGAGGAGAGTCTTGGCCTTGCCCACCAGCCTTATGTGGGGGCATGGCAGGTTGGGAAAGAAAGCTGGGTCTTTGGGAAAGAGTCTGGCAGCCCCTTCCTTGGCCACCAGGACACCCCTGCTCCCAGCCAGCTCAGGTCCTGAACCAGGCCCCATGCCCCTTCCAGGGTGCCACCTCCCCCACAGTGACCTCAATGCTTGAAGCAGTGATTCCATTCCTAGGAGGTGGTCCTTAGACACCTTGAGCTTGTTGAATGTGAGGTGTTGCTTCTGGTGTGGCTGACAGCCAACGTGTCCACAAATGGAAGGAGGAGGATACGGCAGGGGACACAGCATAGCGCTGACGTGTTGTTTCAGTCATGGGAGCAGAGGAAGAGGACGGGGAAGAAACAGAGGTTCTCTGCAGAGGCAGAAAAGTAATGCCAGCATTTACATTTGTTGTAGTTTGTTTTATGTTTTATTTTCTACAACAAAGAATGATTTCTATAATAGTAATAGGTTATTTCTATACCGACGGGTAAATTAGTGTTCCCTCACTGAAATTAGTTAAACTGCCCTCACGATGGCATGTAAATGTTTCCAGTGTCCCTGTCCAAAAGGAAAAAACTTCCAAACCTGTTGCCATCAAGTTGATTCCGACACATAGAACCCTGTAGGACAGAGTAGAACTGCCCTGTTGGTTTTCCAAGTCTGTAATTTTCAGGCAGCCCGACTTCCACATGTTTCTTGTGCAGAGCATCTGATGGTCTTGAACCATTGACCTTTTGGTTGTCTGCTGAGCGCTTTAACCACTGAACCACCAGGGGATCTGCTGAGCCCTGTTGGAGCTGCAGAGCCCCTTTGCAGCGTGTCCTTGGTCTTGCACAGTATGTCCCTCTTGCTGGTCTACTTGGTTTTGCTAGCACCTCTCTGGTTGATTACAGCCTTGGCCTGTGTTTTCCTGTCTGACGGGTGAAGTCTCCCATTACTCCTCCCTACTTGGTTCATTTCCTTCATTGTTGGTTGTCCCAAAGAAACTTTGGCATTACTTTGCTGGCACACTCAGAGAATGTACTCCTTGTGTGATTTGGGGGTGATGTGCACCTTCCCGTCTAGGACCACAGAGCGGCCTGTGCTCACATGAGTCTTCTGTGCATCTCGGTTGAGTTTCAGAGTTGCCGGGTGTATTCTCAAGAGAACTGAAAGGCTAGCATTTTGCCACAAGAGTGCCATGATGGAGACTCCGCATGTCCTGACTGCAGAACGTGGCGCTCACACGTTGATTTCGAGGATTCTTAGCAGCCTCTGTTTTCTGCTCCAGGTGCCCTACGAAACACTGAATAAACGATTCCGAGCCGCTCAGAAAAACATCGACCGCGAGACAAGCCACGTCACCATGGTGGTCGCTGAGCTGGAGAAGACCTTGAGTGGCTGCCCTGCCGTGGACTCAGTGGTCAGCCTTCTGGATGGCGTGGTGGAGAAGCTCAGCGTCCTGAAGAGGAAGGTGAGTGCTGCTCTAGGGCTGCCCGGAGAGCCGGGTAGACGTGCTCTGCCCTCGGCTGCAGAGTGGGGCCAGCCAACCCAGCCTCACCCACCGGTCACCCAGTTGGCCATAAACGTGAGCCATTTTCTCTGCAAGTGGGGACATGACTAAGCTGGGAAGTCCTGAGATAGAAGAGGTGAGCGGTGGTGGCTGATGGACTGGGGCCCTGGATGAACCCCAGGGCAGGTGACCGCTCGCGGTCAGGTTCATTTTGTAAAACACGGGCTTTCCCAGCACTCGTGTTTTCAGCTCTCTGCTCTCCTGTGACTTGGAGTGAGAGTGGAAGCATGGATACCAATACCATGCAGAGATTTTACATGTTGACTTGGTAAGGCTTGAGACCAAGATCCACTGACTCTTTTCTGACGATAAGGTGAATTTTCACACTTTGAACTTCAGCACATTAATGGTTTTTAAAAATGAGGTTTTGTAGCACTACTTTCATCTTTGTCCAGGGGGCTAAATCACAGAAGAACAACTTTGTGTTCTTTGTTTGTATTTGTGGTTGAGGACTAACTCTCTTCCAGCACTTGCTTCGTCAAGCTGATCATCTTAAAAACCACCCAGCAGGCGTAGTGCAGGATGTGAGCAGAGCCGGCTACACCCTGAGGCAGGAGGGCTCAGCATCTAGACTTTGGTTTTGCCACCTCTGCTTCTTCTTGCCCTTCTGGCCATGCTCTTGGCTACTAGAGTCCCAACCAGCAGGACAGGTGGCTGGCCACTGCTCTGTTTGCAATCAGAAGGCAGCATCACAATTCCACCTGGCTGCTGGGAAATGCGTGTAGAGGAAAACCAGGGAACACGCTTTCTCCCGTTGTCAGGAAAAGCCACGGTCCAGCTCTCTCCTGCCAGCGGCCTCCCGCCTGCCAGGGACCCTTTGCAGAGTGAGGTGGAGTGGCTCAGGGCTGGTGTGCTTTTCTGATGTACATGTCCAGCTAGAGCCCGGCTGGCCAGGAGTGTTTGTGGCCCCTGCATCCTGGCCCTTGGAGTTGGAGGGTGGGTTGTGGGGTCACAGGAAAACTCCCCTCAGTGAATTGAGGTGTCTCAGAGATAATTTAGACTCTGCCTGTGGTGAACAAAATGACAACAGCTCTCATTCTGTCTGAAAGGGGCTATGTCTTATCAAAGGAAACCAAGTTCAGTGGGAAAGAAGGGCTCCTTTCCAGGCTCTTTGTGCTTAAGTGCCGCTGTTGGGCTGAGCAGGCCACCTTCCTGTCCTGTGTTCCTGTCCCTGTAGGGACCAGATTGTCTTGACTCCAGGAGCATCCCCAGCCCAGACAGCTGAGAGGCCAGGATGTGTAAGAGATGATTTAATTATCTTTTGAATTTCACCCCAAAATCGCACATGGGATTTCTTATTTCTGTATCTAGGGTATAAAGCCAATGGATAAAATGACAAGATAAGAGAGCTGAACAGAAGATTTCAAAGAGCAGCTCGAGCAGACAAAACCAATTACTATAACGAAATGTGCAAAGATCTGGAGTTTGAAAACCAAAAGGGAAGAACGCGCTCAGCATTTCTCAAGCTGAAAAAATTGAAGAAAAAATTTAAGCCTCAAGTTGCAATATTGAAAGATTCTATGGGCAAAATACTAAATGATGCAGGAAACATCAAGAGAAGATGGCAGGAATACACAGAATCACTGTACCAAAAGGAACTGGTTGGTTGATCTTCATCCATTTCAGGAAGTGGCATATGATCTAGAACCAATGGTACTGAAGGAGGAAGTCAAAGCTGCAATGAAGGAATTGGTGAAGAACAAGGCTCCGGGAATTGATGGCATACCGATTGAGATAGTTCAACAAACGGATGCCCCATTGGAGGCACTCACTCGGTTATGCCAAGAGATTTGGAAGACAGCTACCTGGCCAGTTGACTGGAAGAGATCCATATTTGTACCCATTCCAAAGAAAGGTGATCCCACAGTATGTGGAAATTATAGAACAATATCATTAATATCGCATGCAAGTAAGATCTTACTGAAGATAATTCAAAAACTGTTGCAGCAGTATATTGACAGAGAACTTGCAGAGATGCAAGCTGGATTCAGAAGAGGACGTGGAACAAGGGATATCAGAGCTATTGTCAGATGGATCTTGGCTTAAGGCTAAGAATACCAGAAAGATGTTTACTTGTGTTTTATTGACTATGCAAAGGCATTTGATTGTGTGGATCATGACAAATTATGGATAACATTGAGAAGAATGGGAATTCCTGAGCACTTGATTGATTGTACTCGTGAGGAACCTGTACCTTGACCAGGAGGCTGTCATTCGAACAGAACAAGGGGACACTACATGGTTTAAAATCAGGAAGGGAGTGTGTCAGGGTTGTATCCTTTCCCTATACTTATTCAATCTATATGCTGAGCAAATAATCCGAGAAGCTGGACTATGTGAAGAAAAACATGGCATCAGGATTGGAGGAAGAATCATTAACAACCTGAGATATGCAGACAATACAACTTTGCTTGCTGAAAGTGAGGATGACTTGAGGCACTTATTGATGAAGGTTGAAGAATACAGTCTGCAGTATGGATTACGTCTCAATATAAAGAAAACAAAAATCCTCACAACTGGACCAAGGAGCAGCATCACACTAAATGGAGAGAAGATTGAGGTTGTCAAAGAATTCAGGTTGCTTGGTTCTACAATCGATGCCAATGGAAGCAGCAGTCGGGACATTAGACGATGTGTAGCATTGGGGAAGTCAACTGCGAAGGAACTGTTTCAAGTGCTGAGGAGCAAGGAGTCTTCTTGAGGACTAAGGTGCGCCTGACACAAGCCATGATATTTCCAGTCGTCTCGTATGCATGTGAAAGCTGGACAATGAATAAGGAAGACCAAAAAAGAGTTGATGCTTTTGAATTGTGGTGCTGGCGAAGAATGCTGAAAGTACCATGGACTGTTAAGAGAACTGACAGATCTGTCCTGGAGGAAGTGCAGCCAGAATGCTCCTTGGAAGTGAGAACTGCCAGACTTCGTCTCACCTATTTTGGTCATGTTGTCAGAAGGGACCATTCCTTGGAGAAGGATGTCGTGCTTGGTAGGGTGGAGGGTCGATGAAAGAGGGGAAGGCCTTCCACGAGATGGATTGACACAGTGGCTGCGATGATGGGCTCAAGTATAGCAGGGATTGTGGAGCTAGTGCGGGATTGGGCAGTGTTTCATTCCGCTGTGCATGGGGTCGCTATGAGTCGGAAATGACTCGACGGCACCTAACAACAGCAACAACGGGATTTGTACTAACCTTTCCACTAAAAACAATCATAACAGCTGGAGAAGACATTTTAAACCATCTTATTAGAAGCATCAGAGAGCTCATGAGATGGAAGGAATTGCCAGTCCAGAATTGGAGGGCAGAGGGAGTGAGAGAGGTGAAAGGACAAGGAGTGCTGGCTGAGCAAGATGATGGCTGGCTCCTCTGAGGGCCTGCCTTCTGGGCCAGGCTAAGAGAGACAACAGCCAGGGCCACGCACAGAGCAGAAACCTAACAGGAGGCCCTTCTGATGATAAGCTGGCACCCTGGAGTGCCAGACCTCAAGGAGAGGGTGCAGCAGGAGTGAGCTCACATTCACAGTGAGTCATAGCCCCGGTTCCGAAACATTCAGGGAACCTTAACCTTCATCTTAGAAGACGTGGTTCCTGCCTTGGTGCCTCCAGGCATAAGCAGAGTAAGTGCAGGAGGAACCTTTGAACCTGGGTGCCAAGTTATTTTTAGAAATAATTATTCAAGTACCATAACCAGGGTACAGAAGACCCATGATTGACAACCAACAGTGGCAGTAGACAAAGGCCTGTACAGATTTCAGATATGGGGATTACGTACTGTGCTTGAAGAATTTGTGGGGGGGGTGGGGGAAGATCACCCTGCAGTGAACAGAAAGTATGGAAAAACATAGCAGAGTTTACAAAAAAAAAAGAAGAAGCCGCCACCAAGTAAGATGTCAAGAAACACTTGTAACAGACATTTTAACCTTTAGGAGACACAGCTGTAGAGAGAATCAGTGAGGTAGAAGATAAATTGGAAGAAATCTATGTGGAATGCAGCAAAGATGGTAAGGTGGAAGTCCATAAGAGGGTAAGAGACATGGAGAGGAGAAGAAAATCTTGTGATGTGTTTAACCAGAGTTCCAGAAGGAGGAGGGAGAAGGGAGAGAGGGGCAGAGATGATACGTAGAGGGCTAATGACTGGAGGAATTTCCAGAACTGATGAAAATTATCAGTTCAGAGATTCAGGAATCCAAATGATCAAAATAATCACATGCAAGATTTGTGCATAGTAAAATGAAAGACAAAGAGAAAAATCTTACAGACAGCTAGAGGGAAAGGACGCCTTCCAAAGGAACAACGGAGAGCCTGGCAGCTGGCTCCTTGACAGCCATTGAAAGCCGATGACGGGTGGAGTGTGCTGAAGAAAAGAAGGCCAGCCAGCATTCTCCTCCCATGCTGTCCAGTATGTAGCCACTAATTATGTGTGGCTACTAAAATTTAAATCCACGATTCTGTTCCTCAGGTGTACGGGCCACACTGCAACTGCCCAGTAGCCACATGTGGCTGGTGGCCGCTGTGGTAGACAGTGCAGGTGCAGAACATGTCTGTCTAGCTACACTTACTCTGAACAGAATTGACTTTAGGGCAAAAAACAGCATCAGTGATTTAGAAGGTTGTTTTAGAATGGTAAACAATTTAATCAACCAGGAAGCTATAACATGTTTACTATTATATGCATCTGGAAGCATCAGAATATATAAAGCAGAATATAACACAACTGAGAAGGCACAGATTGGCAAAGTGGTAAATTTTGACCCATCTCTGAATAGTCAGTAGAGGAAGCAGACAAATTCATAGAGATAGAATGTGTAATAAATACACACTTGCCTGATGGATGTATATAGAGCAGTATCTTCAAGTGCAGAATTTCAAACAGATGCAATATTAATAAAAGTAGGCTATATGCTGGACTGTAAGGCAGGTCTCAAAGTATTTCCAGGAATGGAAATTGAATATCATGTATTTAAGCTAGAAATCAATAATGACAACAACAACAAAAATTTCTTAGATTACCTGATTTAGAAATTGCTAGAGGGGCAGGGAGGCTACATCTTCGACCTCCTCCAACTCTACGAGAGGAAGACAGAATCACTGTCAGCAGCCCAAGGCCTGTTCTTATGAAGCCAGACATGCTACCACCCTCCAGCCCTTGTCAGCAACCATTTCTCCCACAGGACCCACCACCTCTCTGCTGGGTTCGATAATTCACTCCAGTGACCACACTGAACTCACAGATTACGGGGTTTATTAGGGAAGCAGCAGGCTGCAGTTCAAGTTCAGGAACGTGCTCAGTCTCTCTCAGTAGCACATCTCTCAGCAGCGTGTGTCTCTCGCGTCTCTCTCTCAGCAGTGTGTTTCTCTCAGCACTTTTTTCTCAGCTAGCAGTCAGAGAGACCCTTTCTGCCTCTCGGAGGGCTCCTTTTGAACCTGGCAGAGTGGCTAAAAGCAGCCGATCCCAACATCAGAGTTCTGCATGACTGAGAGAACATGCGAACATCCCAGAACCTTACTTCAGGTGGATAACTTTAACAGTCAACTACTCAGTTGGTCCTGGCAAAATGGGAACCACGCATACTATGACTGGAAAAGCCATAGTATGTAATTTACTACACCGCAGAAATGCACTTTGAAGTAACTCCAGTACCTGTACCTGAATGATTGGATGGACACATTCCATATTTGAAAAGAATGCACATTAAACCCGAAGAAAGTAGGAGGGAGGGACATGAAAAAAGGCAGATGTTTATGAGATAGAAAATAAATAAATAACCAAGGAGGGTCTACAGAGCCAAATTTGGTTCTTAGAAAAATTTACGGGATTCTGGCAAGACTAATGGAGAAAATAAGAGAGGGAGCACGCTCCACTGTGTTAGGAGTGAGAAAGGGACATTGCCGCAGAGTGCAGGTAGCAGAAGAAGGTGGGAGGAGCTTGTAAACATTACACTGATAGTTTTGAAAATTGATATAAAATTGCCAAATGTCTCAGAAGATATAACTTCCAGAAGTGATTCATGTAAACTGAGAAAACTTTAAATTAATGAAAAAGCTCAGCATCATCACTCAGAACAAGGCCAGGGGCCAACTACAGAGCAGACCGTCAATTGCTCATATGCAAGTTCAAGTTGAAGCTGAAGAAAATTAAAACAAGTCCACAAGAGCCAAAATATGGCCTTGATAATATCCCACCTGAATTTAAAGACCATCTCAACAATTGGTTTGACACATTGAGCACCAGTGACTGAAGACCAGACAAGTTGTGGGATTACAGCAAGGATGTCTTACATGAAGAAAGGGGAGAAAGAAAAAAAAAAAAAAACACTGCCATCTAGTTGATTCCAACTCATAGTGACCCCCATTGGGTTTCCAAGGTGGTAAATCTTTACAGAAGTAGATTGCTTCATCTTCCTTCTATGGAGCAGCTGGAGGGTTTGACCCACCAACTGTCTCGTTAATACTCAGATGCCTTAGGCACTGTGCCACTAAAGTCCTTTAGAAGAAAGCAGAGGGTCATTAAAACCACAGAACCAAAAACCAAACCCACTGCCATCAAGTCAATTCTGACTCAACAATCTTTAGGACAGAGTAGAACTGCTCCATAGGGTTTCCAAGGCTGTAAATCTTTACAAATGCAAAATACCTCATCTTTCTCCCACAGAGTGGCTGGTAGATTCAAGACTTCAATTGCAATATTGAAGGATTCTATGGGCCAGATATTGAATGATATACGGAGTATCAAAGGAAAATGGAAGGACACAGAGTCACTGTACCAAAAATTGTGTCACTGTGCAACCATTTTAGGTGGTAGCATATGATCAAAGAACTGATGATACTGAAGGAAGAAGTCCAAGCTGCACTGAAGGCATTAGCAGAAAAACAAGGTTCCAGGAGTTGACGGAATACCTGTTGAGATGTTTCAACAGATGCAACCTTATAAGCACTGACTTGTCTTTGCCAAGAAATTTGGAAAACACTTACCTGGCCAGCTGACTGGATGAGATCCATTCCAAGGAAAGGGATCCCAAGAATGCAGGAATTATTGAACAATACCAATAATATCACATCAAGTAAAGGTTTGCTGAAGATAATTAACTATTGTAGCAGTGCATTGATGGCACTCCAGAAGAGGTTTTGGAGACAAAGGATATCATTGCTGATACCAGCAGGATCTTGGCTGAAAGCAGAGAACACCAGAAAGATGTTTGCTTGTGGTTTATTGACTGTGTAAAGGCACTCAAGTGTGTGGATCATAACAAATAATGGATAACATTGATAAGACTGGGAATTCCAGAACACTTCATTGTGCTCATGAGGCACCTGTACATAGACCAGGGGGCAGTCATTTGAACAGAACACGGGGGCACCGAGTGGATCAAAATCAGGAAAGGTGTATTTCGGGTTGTGTCGGTTTTGCCCTACTTACTCAGCATGCATGCTGAGCACAGATTTTGAGAAGCTGGACCTTATGAAGAGAACACAGCTTCAGGATTGGAGAAAGGCTCGTTGACAAGGAGGCTGCTGCTGGATGCAAAGCTGTTACGCTTGCTGTCGCCACCAGCAAGTTTCACCATGCCATTGAGACCTGGAAAGACTGGTGGATTGGTGTGTTTGCTGTGTGTTCTCCACAACAACAGCAAAGGCAATACAAATCTTGTTCAAATGCCATTGAAGATGGAAAGTTGCAACCAGTGGAGCAGATGTGTAGGGATAACTCTTTAGTCTGTTCTGGGAAAGGATCAGGCTTTATCGGGACATTTAAGAAGAAGAGACAGAGAGCGAGGCCATGCTCCCGGCCTGGAAGACTGTGTCCGCTCTCCCTAAATGATCTGGTACTTTCTACCTAAGTCACGCTCTTAGCTGACACTTTTGGGGGCGGAATTTGTCAAGCAGTTCTCGTGTCTGCATGCAGATGTGTGAAGGTTGTAGTGAGCCACCAAACCACCCACAGGAGCAGCAGCCCAGCGGGGGGCCTTGCCATTGTCATGCCGCCTCTTGAAACTCCAGGAATAAGGTCGTAAGAAGAAATCGCTCCAGTTCTAGAGCGTGACAAGGCCATTGGCCCTCTGTTCTGCCAGGAGGTCTGCCCTTCTTGGCCGCATGTCCCTTTGCGCCACCAGCTCCTACCAGACCAGCCTGTTCATTGCTGCCTTAGGCACCATTTTTATCGGCCAAACTCGAAAGAGGGAGCTTTGTCCACTTTAGGAAGGCAGCCCTGTGGGGACAGACCCAGCTCCTTGGCCTCTGCTGGAGCCTGAGGGGCTGTGGATGGGGCACCAAAGCCTGGGAGCCAAACCTGCAGGACAGGGTGCCCGAGAGCCCCTGCCGAGCCCCTCAGCTCAGCCAGGCCACTCGCACGCCCCCGTGTGGAGTCACCTGGCACCTGGCACTCTCTGCCCTCGAGCATCATGGGGCTGGCTCCCTGAGTAGTTTGTCAGGTGACTCGCAAACAGTATTAGAAAACCTGCAACCCAGGCAGGGAGTTAGCTTTGTCCCAACGGTGCGAGTGCAGGGAGCGGTTTGCTCATGATTGCTGCCTGTGGGGCACACCAGCTGTGCTCCCATCCTCAGTGCCCCCAGTTCATGCTGCTTGGCAGAGGGCACAGGGACTCGGCCTCGTATCCCTGTAGGGTGTTTCTGGGTGTGGGGGAACAATCAGACTGCCTGACAGAGTCTCGTCCGCTCACGTCACCTGCGGGAGGCCCATGGGTTGACTCTTCTCGGAGCTGGGAGGATGCCTCTCCCTCCTTTGCTGGTCTTTGTTACTAGGCCCCTAGTGCCCCCTGCTGGACGCAAGACAGCAGCACCCAGGAATGTGTGGCATCGAGACAATGACACACAGGCCCCAGTAGCAGCAAGATAAAGGATCACACTGGCACAGCAAGTGGCACAAAGACCCCGTGACCCAAGCACCTTCTGCAGTGACACGGGATGGGGGTGCGACCCAAGGCGTGAGGCCTACACGTAGGCCAGGCTTTCTGCCAGCGCCCAGGACAGAGGGCATGTGTGGTCTTCCCAGGTGGTTGGGGAGCGGTGGTTAGCATGGAGACATACAGTGGTCAGCAGGCAGACCACAGCAGATGACGGCTGCTAGGCCTGTCTTAGGGGACTCACGACAGGGCTTCTCTGTCCAGCCAGACCTCTGCTGCTGCGTGGACAGAGGAGAGACCCCCACGCTTCCTTGGGAGCAGTCCCGTCGGGGTCTGTCAGCAGTTCTCTGAACAATTCTCACTCCTGCGCCTGCTCTTTGCTCTTTCTCTGACGTAGCTTTCTTTGCAGTCTGGTTACTGCAACGATGGTGGAGCTTCAGGCTTGGTTTCTAACTGACTCCTTGTGTTTCTGCCGCTCAGCCCGGTGACGTCATCACGGCCGCGAGCAGGTCACGTGGCGTGTGCCTCGGGCTGGGCCTGGCAGGGTCTCCATCCTGAGCGTGTCCTCTTTCCTGCAGGCCGTGGAGTCCATCCAGGCCGAGGACGAGAGCGCCAAGCTGTGCAAGCGCCGCATCGAGCACCTGAAGGAGCACAGCAGCGACCAGCCGGCGGCGGCCAGCGTGTGGAAGCGGAAGCGCATGGACCGCATGATGGTGGAGCACCTGCTGCGCTGCGGCTACTACAACACGGCCGTGAAGCTGGCGCGCCAGAGCGGCATCGAGGTGGCCCTTCCCTCCGTCCCGGGTGCCGGGGCACTCCCGGTGCCCGCTCTGGGGTGCTTGCTGCCCGAAAGCCTGGCGTGAGCGTCTCGTGCTGAGCGTGTCAGTATCTGCCGTGCCAGCACAGCAGGGCTCGTGGTTTGTCCTCACGCAGCTTAAACAGCTCTGACTTGGGGAACCGTGCAGGGCTTCCTCCCCACCGGCGCCCCACGTTCCCATAGTTACCCGCGTGGGTTTGGGTCTGTGGTGGTTCCCGTAGTTGTGGTCTCCTCGAGTTTGTGAAGGCAGGTGTGTTTCCTGCTGGTGCACTTCAGTGGCACCAGCATCACAGATGCGGAAATCAACAAGGCCCTGGCTGTTGGCATTTCCAGGCGAGCAGTTTAGGTCTCCGAGGCTGACACAGCCAGGAGGCCGGCGTGGAAGGCCCCTCTGTGGGTGGGCTTGACTTCAGGCTCCCCTCGGCCCTCACCAGGTCCCAGGACCACTGTGCCTCCTTCACCCTCAGACACTTCAGCTGCTGATGGCTGTGGTCACTGCCCCGCCCCTCACCAGCATCCTGGCCCTTCCTGCCTTGTCCCTGTCCTGGGTCGCTTCCAGCAGTGCCCAGTGCAGCCCACCTCCACTTAGGATGGCATCCGGGGCCCACAGTCCCTCACCCTCCCCGTTCTCACCAGGGCTGCTTTCCTCATGTGCATGTCCTCATCACGACCCCCCTCAACCGGTCCCTGCCACCGCTGCTCTCAGCCCCCAACAGTGTCCTCCCACCCAGGTCACTCCTCCTGACCTGTGACTGCTGGCCCCTCCCCTCCCTCTTGGAGCTCCTCCCTTCCCTTTAGGGGCCCCTTCCCTCCCTCCTGCCCCTGCCCCAATCTCCTTAGCTGGCCTCTTGGCCCATCCTCGCCTTCTTCCTCCTCTTGTCTAATTTAGCTCCTGGATGATCCTAACCCTTGTCGTGGCTGGACATCCCCCCACATGTGTGTCTCCCCTGAGCCCCGGGGTCGGACACGGTTGTCCATGCGGTCTCTCCACTGGGGGTCTCCTGGAGTCTCAATCCTGCAAATCTAAACCCTGGTGGAGACACCATCCACTCCGCCCTCCCCACCCCAGGAAGTGGCCTCCATGCCCCTCAGGCCCAGAGCCCTGGGTCATCCTTGGTGCTTGTCTGTGTCCAGGGTCCACCACATCCCACTGTCTTGGTGTTACTGTCTGAGACAGCCACCAGGTCCCACCGGTCCTCTTCATGGGCTTCATGCTGACACACCTGCCTTCTTCCCCCAACATGCAGTCAGAGTGACCTTGGATGGCAGGAAGCATGGGCACTTGGTTCCCCCACGCACACCAGAGGCCTTCCCTGAGCGGCACGCTGTGTGCTCCGGCCACACACCACTGCCCCCAGCACGTTGCGTCCCGCTGTCCTTGCGCCATGTAGTCTATCCAGGGCCATCCCTTTGAGGCAGCCTTTTTTCACCATCCCAGTCCAGCTGCCGTGCTTCCCCACCCCCCTCCCGGGGCCCTGCCTAACCCTCTTGTTTACCTCTGCGTCCATGTGTTTGTCCTGCTAGTGGGGACGTTCCAGGAGGGCCGAGTGGTGCAGGGCTGCTCTGTGTTTAGCTGACACTGTGGCCACGTGGTTAGCTGGTTGAACGAGCGAACAGGTCCCCTGCTTGCCCAGACCTGCGTCGATGGGGGCTCTGCTCCTAAGGACTGCCGGGGAGGCGGGGCTGGGGCCCGAGCTCCTGGCCACTACGCAGCCTCGCACCTTGGTCCTGCTGTCCCCTCCCATGTACCCGCCCTCGTGCAGCTTCTGGTCTGGTTCCTCCAGAGATGCCAGGGTCCAGCCTTTTCCACAGGCTTCTAGTAGCCTTCAGTCATATACTACGTGACGTGGCTTGAGAGGAAGTTGTTGGCCGTACCACTCCCTGGGGAAAGGGTTCCCTGCCAAGTCTGCGTGGGGCTCCCTGTGCCAGGACAGGCCTGGAGAGCTGCCACGTGCTGGGAGGAGTCGAGCACAGAGCTTGTAGGGGTCTGGGGGTTTCACCTGCCGAGACTTGGTGGGAGGGCTTTGAGCAAAGGGGGTGCTTTAGAAGGTCTGTCCTGACTCCTCTGTGAAGACTTGCCTGTAGGGGACAAGGGTGGAAGCCAGCAGGCTGCAGGAAGTTACTGCTGTGACCCAGGCATGAGCTGTTTTAAGCCTCGGTTCAGAGCGGTAGCAGTGGGCACAGTGACGGTGCTCAGAGCCTGGCTGGCCTGAGCCCCGGGATTTCCTGTGGGCTGGAAGGGGGGCACAAGAGGCCGTAACTTCCCTCCACGGACAAGCGTGTGGTTGTCTTCAGGGCCCTGCAGTTTGCTCGTGGCCCGTGATTCCTGTCATGTCTGGATTTGAAGTGTTCTGTGTATAGTTTCTTACTTTTCCCTTCACACCGGTTACTGGTAAATTGGTTCTGACTCATGACCACCCTGCACATGTCAGAGTAGAACTGCATCCCAGAGTTTTCAGTGGCGGGTTTTTACAGAAGTAGATCACCAGGCCTTTTTCAGGTGCCTCTAGGTGGACTTGAACCTCTAACCTTTCTGTTGCATGTTAACAATGTACACTGTGCTCTGTGGGTTGGGCCGTGTCGGCCATCTGGGGTCACACTGCCTGCTGTGCATCCGGTATCTGGGATCACACCACCCGCTGTGGTCAGGACATGTCGACATCTGGGGTCCCACTGCCCTCTGTGGGTATTGACCCTCAGCTCACACTGCCCACTATGGGTCGGGCCATGTCTGCCCCTTGGGGTCTTGATGTCCAGGATGCCCTCCCTGTGTCCACGCACACACCAGGGACATTGGGCTAAGTGTCTGTGTCCAGACCCTGCCTTGCTCTTCTCGGGCTGTAGAAGCAGCTCTTGTCCCCTGTGACCTCGGGCCTGGTCATCTCTGAGTCAGCCCTCCGGCTTGCTGGGAACCTCTCCGTGTCCTGGATGCTCGGAACGGAGCTTTGGCATAACTGTCCGGGTTTCCTTGCCCCGCTCTGCTCCCCGGGAGTCCATTCAGTCCCAGGGTCTTTACCATCCTGCAGTTCCAAGACACCTCTAGCTAGTTCCTGGTTCGTTCTTCAGACGGTTCCTCCCCTTGCTCTTTCCCTGGCGTCCAGGCGTCAGTGTTTTGTCTTCTCCAGGTCTCCTTGTGGCTCGTGACCTGTGTCTGTCCCGCTGTGTCCCCTCGTGCGCCATCTGGCACAGCACCCCTCTGTCCAGCTCTGCCTCAGTTGTGCTGCTTTCTGCCCTGTCTGCTGCTCTGTTGGCTCTTCTCCTTTTTGGCTGCTGGTTCTTCCAGCCGTTTTCACTTGGGTTCCTCCTCTGCACCATGAATGAGAGCTGATGTGTGCACTTGGGGATCAGAGCCACATTCAGACCTTGCCTCAACTGTCCAGGCTGTGTCCTTGAAGAGGTTTCTTCCTGCCTGCCCCTCCCACCCCACGATGTCGCATGGTGCCCCTGGGGGCTGCTGGCCGACCCAGCACTTAACGGCTGGTGTTGTTGACCCTTTGACTGGCCACCTTACCCCTGACACCAGGAGGAAGTTTTCACTCAGTGTACATGCGCCCCAGCACCCGTGCCGGGACACACAGAGGCACTGTTCCCTGGGGGGAGCGTTGAATTCATGCCACACACGCATGCCCTAGTCTGGAGCTCTGCAGAGCGTGGGTTGGGGGCAGTTTAGAGACAGTCCAGTCCGATGGACG